TTAACCATCTCCATCCCAAGCCAATTCTGACATTTCTCTCATACATGTAAATATCAGCATTTTTTCTTGCTGGAAAATTACTTAGAACCCCCATACATTATATATATTTTAGCCAGAGGCCCTGGAGAATAAAATGGTTGTTGTTGCAATATTTTTATGTTGCATAGTCTTTGCGCAGCGGTTTATTAAATGCAGATGTTGGGGAAAAATTACACTTTCATTAACTTTAGTGCATACAAACATAATATAATACCCAATTTTTCAGTACAATATAAAAGATGATGTTACTCAGAGTAAATAGATACCCAGCATGTCGCTCTTTAAAATTTCACACGCCTGTGGAATGATGACAAACTATGGTACATTAAATTATCCATAGGCAATGCTTTTAAAGTCTTTACAGGTTACCAGTTTAGAGTTAAACAAAGTCTGGTGCTAGAATTACTGCTCTTGCTTTGATGTTCGAGGTGATACCTCACATTTGTGGTGTGGTCACCGTTTACATGAGCATGAGCACAGGAGCACTTAAAATTTTTTACATTTATTTTATTTACATTTCTTTAAAAAATATTTTTTTTTTAAATTGAACTTTATTGCCATCACAAGGGATTAACATCATCCTGATAGCTTAGGCCATGACCTTTCCTCATTATGCTCTCAAGATTAGTTTGATTGGGTGCTTTACAGCTGGGAACAACAAACCAAAACCAGAAGTGATGAAATCCACGTCTTTTCCAGTTTCTGATGTCACAGAGGGGGAGGAACAACAGATGTTCTTCTCTGCCTTGTACATCCAATGCAACAGGCTGCTTTGGTACTGTGTTCCCTGGTGGGACAGGAGTGCATCAGGTGGCTGTATAGCCACTCAAATCACTTTTGAGCTCTATGCACACTAGCATGACCTCTAGTCCATTTTTGAGGTTTTGCGTGGAATGTGTCAGATTTGGCTTTTGTTTCTCCACTTTCTTGTGTCATACCAATACAAACCAAAGACATAAACATGAGAATGCCTAAACATTTGTAATTGCAACAATTTTCTGGGCAAAGTGGTGCATTATCTGCAAGGAATGTAGGGGTGCCAATATTTTTGGCTATGCCTGTATTTCCGAGGCTAGAGGACTGAATGCGTTACCCTCTTGGTAAATACCTCTTTTTATGACCCTTGTATACAAAAAAACCAATGATGTAATATTGCCAGAAGGTTTTCTTAATAGTTACTTTCTCAATGTGAACGTGTTTGATGTTAAGATACCAAGTTAGTAAACAGTCATTCCATGCTTCCTCGTGCGTATATAGAGATCACATGATCCCCCCTCCCTGAAATGTTTCTATTGTTCAGATGTCAAACTGGAGTTTTCTGTAGGGTGTGTGCAGTGCATGTAATGCATACGGTTATGTGTATTTCCTCATGTGTTGTGCTATTATGTTGTGCTCTATGTACTGTTACCTCTGTGCTGTGTATGCTACATGTGTTCTGTGCTCTTTATGCTCTCTCTGTTCAGTACACTTCACTTCCCCGGAGGGCAACCTCTTTGGAGTTTATGGGCTACAGTAGGGCTTGGAAAGTGACATCATCTTATTCCTAAAGCAATCCATAGGTTACACAATTTTCTTTCCTTCCACCATAAATGGCAGGAAAGAAAATTGCTCAATTCCCCCATCAATGCAGTCAGTGTTGATGGGGGAATCTCTCCCACAGCACTATCTTGTTCTGCCAGCGGGGAGCTTTCCTGGCTGGCAGAAAACAATGATTACTGCTAGCAGCTATAGCCACGCATGCAAAAAATGCAACAGGCTGGTTGTACTGAAGTCAATTGATGGATCGACTTCAGTACAACCAGCCTGCCCATAGATGGATCGAAATTTGGCCGATCCCTGCACTCCATAATGCGCATCATGACTCATTAAAGTGCGTGTTACTGCAGTGCAAGGTAAGAGCTTATTTGCAATAGCCTGCAGGATAAAATGAGTGCAGGCTGGTGTCGTATAAGGGTGGTAATGTTGTTACAGCACAAGGCCCTGTTTACCTTTTTTTTTCTTCCTAAAATGTCACAAAATTATACTTCATTTAAATCTATGCACTGCAGCATATTGCACTGACATGCAAAGCGGTGAGCTCCACTTCATAAGAACTGCAGCATGCCTGCATTTCTATGTAACGCTCCTGAAAACAGCAGTGTAGTGTGAATAAAGCACAAAAATCTATGCGCCCTTACGGTGAGCCTGCATCCATCTATACAGATCATGTGAACGAGAACTAACACAAAGTTGATGTCTGTTTATCAAAGAAAATTGTAGAGTAACATACATTTTCCACTGCATTCAGTTATGGATACAAGTGTCAGTTGTGATCATTTTTATTTTGTACACAATATAAGAAACTATAGTCCGACAGGTAAGTGTCTGGAAAGTAGCACTAGTAAAGAAAGTGAACCTTTTTGTTCTAATTGGGTGTTAGAAGAAACATTAGAAAAGTGTGTGTGTATGCACTGTATGTTGGGTGATTTATTAAGGAGTAGAAGCTGTTTCCTGGACAAATTGCATTTTACAAAGTAAATGTTAGTAAATAAAGTGAGCCTGTGTTAACTTTAATATCCAATGTGCAGGAGAAGAAAAAAATGGATTTTTTTTTCTGGCACAATTCGGTATTCAAATTGAAAACAGCTTCTTGTTATTTGCTAACAAAGTGAACATTGATTTTGGAAACTAAACAGTCAATTTGCTTGGTAAATTACCTGAATATCATTCACGTAACAAATAACAGAACCTGGTTAATAGGCAGAGAACAATGTAATGTTGGATATATTTTCATTGCAGACAGTTGAGGATACAGGGGTTGGTTGTGATCTTTTTCAATGCTCACACTTTACAACAAACTAGCCTGTCAGGGTGTAGTTAGTTGAGTTTAAAAGAAAAAAAAAAACCTCCAATAGACCAGTGCAAACACAAGGCCATAGGAACCAATCAACTTCTATTTTTATTTTTTCCCATACAGCTTAGAAAATGAAAAAGTATAAACTTATCTGCTGCACTCCAGTTAATAAAAGGTTTATCACTTTTTATTATTTCCTCAAGTTGTTTACATGCCATCACTGCCATAACAGATCCAAGCTATGGGGTCATTAAAATAATCTTTTAGCCCTGACTTTTATTGTTGAAGCTGATGGGGCAACTCATTATCAGTATAAGGTCCTATTTCTTCTAGTAGAACTATGAGACCTTCACATTTTAAATGCTTTCTCTATTAGTTTAGAGTTAAAGTGATTGTAACCCCCTGACATGGAGTATGAACAAAGCATATCCCTCTATAGTGTTTACTTGTCTCAATCCAGAGCAGAAAGTGTCATTTCTATTTGCTGCTCCTTTCCTCTTCTATCAGAATGAATCACTTGTGACAAGTTTTCCTGACACCAAGCTGTAAAAGGGTGACAGGGGAGGGACCTCCAGCAGATGTACAGCCTCAGCTCTGTTCCTGTGAGCTGTGTGAAGGGTGGATGTGTCCCTTCCCAACAGTCAGCTCTCAGAGCTCTCCTCAGTGAGAGAGCAGAGTGTAATTTCAGCTTTCCGCCCCCTTTATTCTGAACTCTCAGACAAGCTTTATAAATTCTGGACTTTGAATGAATGCAGAGAAGAGATGACTGCAGATAAACAGGTACAACTTGTGTTGGAGGACTTGTTTCATCTCTATGTATCACCTGAGACCAGTCTCTATGTAAGGGTTTACAACTATTTTAACTGTGAATGGTGGCCCCCAAAATTATTATTTTCGCTCGGAGATTTATGACGATATGTAAGGTGTAGCATAATTGTTGTTTTCATACATAGGTGCACTCATCACATATGTTTATGTTCTTATGTGCATATACGTGGGGGCAGGGGACTTTAAACATTTTTTTTTTTTGTGTGTGTTTTATTTTTAAAAGTTACCTTATTATTTTTACAATTGAAATTATTGCTGTCGCATAGGGGGCCAATAGCCTCTTGTGTGATGGCATACTGTAATGACCGGTTCTCTACTGAAACATCACCCATGCAAACAAACCCATGCTGAACAAACTTCAGCGGGCTTATGTATGCCCTTCACCAGGCCCGTGGTTAGTGAGTGAAGGATCCCCTTAAATTGGTTAGTCAGTGGGAGAAAGGATCCATCACATTGGGGCTGACTGGATAAGTGGCTCCGTACAACAGATACTAGTTTAGTGCCCTCCTACATGGATGGACAGTGTTAAGAATGCTCCCTTACAGACAAATAAAAAGATATGTTGTGCCAGTGAGTACTTACCTGAGATATGAGAAAAGAGGCTGCATTGGTCCCATGCTGACTAAACCTGCAGAGTAACCTTGGTGCTAGAACTGTGCAAGCACCATCATTAGTAAGTTGCTTCTGCCAATCTCACAGCTCAAGGAACCCTTGTTGAGAAAGTATGTAGGGTGAGCTGCTTGTGTTAGAGATCTAGGCAGAGTCACCTGACCGAAGCTCAAGTACTGCTTTTTATTCATAAAGGGTAGAGCTTTGAAAAATTATACTGGTGCTGTATATTGTGACTTTACAGGAATTCATTCATGCAGACTTGTAAAAGTACTCGGATATCTACTTTAGTTGCCCATCCTGTTAGTTTTTTCTCAGGAAATCCACAATCATTGATTGTGAATCCAGTGTTTGGCTAAATGTGGTAGTTGATCTTCCTTTTTCCACAAATCGCCATTCTTTCAGAAATAGAAGATTGAGTACAAATGCATTATTTTGGCTGAAGATAAAGTACAAAGATACAAGGGAGATGGATGTGTCCTAGAACTTAGCCCAAAATATATTGTCCTTGAATGCCCAGGATTTCCAGGGTTTTTTTTTTTTTAATTTAATATTTCTTTGTTTTTCAAACTATAGCACATATTTCCATTTTTCAATAATGATTGAAACAATTATTATGTACTGCATTTTTCTGTTTCAGCAGTAACCTTAAGTAAATGGATGTATGTTTTGTTCCTCTCAGGGAACAGAAATGGAGTCACCATGTGGAAGGAGTTTCATGCAGGTACTGTGTGAGAAATACAGCCCAGAAAACTTTCCGTACAGGAGGGGGCCAGGAGCCGGTGTGCATGTACCTGCTGGGCCTCAAGTGTCACCCATGAAAGGTATGACATCACTTGTCCTAAAGAATATTTTACCACAGCATTTCATTTCAGATATGTGTCTTTTGTACCATGTACTTGTGTTAGAAAAAGTATCTTGTTCTCATTTTGTATTGCTTCTTTGTGTGAAATCCCTGCTGTTCCTGCCAATCCCCAAGCTTTCCTGACCACGTTAGGCATGAGAGCACATCCATCCCAGCATGGTCCGTTTTCTAGCTGTGCTGGGAGAATAACTTGTCTGTCCTCCAGCGGTCAGACATTTGCTTACAGGCCCTTCTCCCTGTACAGCCATTCAGTGGGAAGATCAGTGTGCTGCTGTTTTTCCACCCCCAGCACTCTATTCCATTATGCAACTGAGAACAAAGATTATGTGATCACATATAAAAAAGTAAACATTTATAATGTGTGTGTGTGTGTGTGTGTGTGTGTGTGTGTGTATACACACCCACATACATACACACAACTGTTTTGCCTTTCTTTTCTGTTTTAAACATAATAGGTTGTTTTACAAGGTATGGGTTCACATATATTTTAATTCTCCATCATATATATAGTAGAATAGTCTACAGGATTATCACAAGGAATGCCACAGCTTGAAGGACATCAGATGGCTAATGATTGTATCCCTTTTGTAAATCCAGCTTAACTCATTCTATGAAACTGATCAAGTCCTTGTACTCACAATTTAGACGAGGGAGGATGAAGGGTTGGCATGGCTGAATTGCATCCCTTAATTCATCTGTTCATCCTGTGGACAATCCTAGCTGTTATAAACCCCTTCTCTGCTATTGGCAGACAGCTTACTTCTGTTGCCAGACAACGGGTCAGGGGGAGTGGTCCCTACACCCAGATGTGTCCTATCACATCTGCATACACTAGGGGACCCTAGATGTGGATTTTCTGGCATCTTGCCTCAACAGGAAGTTTCCGAGGTTTGTGGCTAGAGTGCGGGGACCCCCTTGTAGGTGCAACAGATGCACACTAGTGGCACCGTGGGACCAGTATAGTCTTGTTTATGCCTTTCTTCCTCTCAAGCTCCTTCCTTGCTTACTGTGCAGGATGGGGGGGAAGAAATAACTCTGGTCCTTCTGGTAGCTCCACACTGGCCTCGTCGTCCATAGTGTGCCGGCGTGGTGCAGCTGGTCATGGACACTCCCTGGCAATTGCCTCTTTGGGAGGACTTCTTGTCCAAGGGTCTGATCTAACATCCTGCTTTACCATCTCTGGCTTGGATGACATGGCTATTGAAGCCAGAGTTTGAGAAACGGGGTTGTTGGGTTTGGTGACCCCTGCAATGTTAAAGGCAAGCAGGTCTACCTATGTAAAGATATCATCACACCTGGAAGGGTTATATTCCCTGGTGCAAGGCTCTGGTTGTCCAACCTTTTTTACTTTTGGGTGGCTTGGGGTTTTGGCTTTCTCCAACGGGGCGTTGCAAAATCATGAATACCATTGCAGGCAGGTTTTTGCCCTTGCAGTTTTTTTTTTGGCGTCCCTTGGCCACGCATTCTATGATCCACACTTTCATCCAAGGGATTCGCCATGTGGCACCTCCTGTGTGTTCCCCGTTGCCACTGTGGGACCTGAATTTGGTTGTTTTGGTCCTCCAGTAGTCTCCCTTTGGGAGTATGTGGGATGTTCCCTGCTTACTTTTCTCAAAGTTGCCTTCTTGATCGCCATCACTCCCATGAGTCATTGATTCACAGATCTCAATGAACTACCACAGCGCTGTTGAGTGCTGTAGTAGTTTATTAATTCTTCCTGTCAGTGTAAAACTGTCTGCCCATACAATGTACGAACAGAGTACACTGACAGACTGCAGGAGACCTGCATAGTACCGGTAATCTTCTGATCGCCGGTGCAATGCTTTCTAGGGTTTCTTAAACAAAAAAATGGTAAATGCACATTTTTTTACCGTAAAAAAAATGTGCATTTATTTTTGTTAAAGTAAAGTTTTGTTAAACTTATCCTTTAACTACTTGCCCTTCCGGAAGATTTACCCCCTTCATGGCCAGGCCATTTTTTGCTATACGGCACTGTTCTACTTTACTCTGACAATTGCTCATCATACAACACTGTACACAAATTAAATTTATGTTTTTTTCACACAAATAGAGCTTTCTTTTGGTGGTATTTGGTACGTTGGCAGTGTCATCACTGGGTTTTCTATTTTTTGCTCTATGAATGAAAAAAGGCTGAAAATAAAAAAAAAAAAACGTATCCAATAAAAATAAAATTCTTTATAAATTTAGGCCAAAATGTATTCCATAGTAGTGGTAGTAGATTCATGTGGTCTTTGGTAACAAAAATCACAAGAAGTGTATTAATTGGTGTGCATGAAAGTTATAGCGTTTACAAATGGCGGTACACACTCACCAGCCACTTTATTAGGTACATCTTGTTAGTACCGGGTTGGACTTTTGCCTTCAGAACTGCCTTAATTCTTCATGGCATATATTCAACAAGGTGTTGGAAAAATTCCTCAGAGATTTTTGTCCATATTGACATGATAGTATCATACAGTTGCTGCAGATTTGTCAGCTGCACATCCATGAATCTCCCGTTCCACCACATCCCAAAGGTGCTTTATTGGATTGAGATCTGGTGACTGTGGCAGCCACTGGATGATAGTGAACTCATTGTCATGTTCAAGAAACCAGTTTGAGAGGATTTGAGCTTGATTGGTGCATTATCCTGCTGGACGACGTCATCAGAAGATGGGTACACTGTAGTCATAAAGGGATGGACATGGTCAGCAACAATACTCAGGTAGGCCTTGGCATTTAAAACGATGCTCAGTTGGTACTAGGAAGCCCAAAGTATTCCAAGAAAATATTCCCCACACCATTACACCACCACAAGCAGCCTAAACTGTTGATACAAGGCAGGATGGATTCATGCTTTTATGTTATTTACTCCAAATTCTGACCCTCCTATTTGAATGTCACAGCTGGAATCGAGACTCATCAGACCAGGCAACCTTTTTCCAATCTTCTCTTTGTCCAATTTTGGTGAGCCTGTGCAAATTGTAGCCTCTGTTTGCTGTTCTTAGCTGACAGGAGTGGCACCTGGTGTGGTCTTCTGCTGCTGTAGCCCATCTGCATCAAGGTTCGGTGTTTTGTGTATTCAAAGATGGTATTCTGCATACCTTGGTTATAACGAGTGGTTATTTGAGTTACTGTTGCCTTTCTATCATCTCAAACCAGTCTGCCCAGTTTCCTATGACCTCTGACATCAACAAGGCATTTTGATCCACACAACTGCTGCTTACTGGATATTTCCTCTTTTTCTCTGTAAACCCTAGAGATGGTTGTGCATGAAAATCCCACCAGATCAGCAGCTTTTGAAATACTTAGACCAGCCTGTCTGGCACCAACAACCATGGCATGTTCAAAGTCACTTAAATCCCCATTTCCCATTCTGATGCTCGGTTTGAACTTCAACAAGTTGTCTTTACCTCATCTAGATGCCTAAATGCATTGAGCTGCTGCCATGTGCTTAGCTGATTAGCAATTTGTGTTACCAAGCAGTTGAATAGGTGTACTTAATAAAGTGGTTGGTGAGTGTGTATACCTTTTTTTTTTTTTTTTTACTAGTAATAGTGGTAATCAGTGACTTAAAGTGGGAATGCGATAGTATGTCGGGCACTCTGACAGTGGGTGGGACCTGGCTAACTGCCACTAACATCTCCAGTGACACTAATACAGTGATCAGTGCTAATAAAAAGCACTGACACTGTATTAATAACACTGGGCAGGAAGGGATTAACATCTGGGGTGACCAAAGGGTTTAAAAAACTGTGTTAGGGAGTGATTTATAGCTCCCTGCTTTGCAAAGAGATAAAAACCAGCATGTCCCTTCTTACAGGAGAGAGAGAGAGATCTGCATTGTTTACACTCACAGATCTCTCTCCTGTCAGCTGTTTCACTAATTGCCATGTCCTGGCAATGAATCGCTGGCCAGGACCTAGTGGTTGAGCCCCTACGCAGAAATGCAGAATCGCTTATATATGTGATTCTGTACAGGGTGGTCGGCAAGTAGTTAAGATTCCTTGTTTTTGGTTTGCCCACCCCTTCTTGAGACACTGTTTTGAGAGATCCCTACGGTCAAGAATCAGAAGAGCTGTGTCTGTTAATGAAATTAAGAGAAAATGTTTTTTTGTTACTCACCATAAAATGCCTTTCTATGAGTTCATTGACGGACACAGCACCCACCCCTCATTTTTTGGAGTTTTTATTTCTGACACTGCTTTGTGACTTAACTGTCCTGCCTACAGCAGAGAGGGGTTTATACCAACCAGGACTGCCCATAAGCAGTGCTCTCTTCTTTTTCTGCCTTGTGTCTTACTCCTGTTTTTGGAGCTAAAAAAACCCTACAGTCCAGAATCAGAAGAGCTGTGTCCATCAATGAACTCAGAGAAAGGGATTTTACGGTAACAAAAATCCAGTTTTTTTCATACAGATAAAGGATCACAAGTTAACAAACAAAATTGTATTCTGGTAACTTTCATTTACATGTAAACCAAGCTATCGTGTAAAAGTGACATTAGTAAGGGTTGGGGTAACTATAACATTGCTAAAGCTGCTTACAACTAGGGATTCACCGAAAGTTTGGTGGCCGAAACGTCTTGGCCGAAAACACCCCTTTCAGCCATCTGCCGAAATAAAAATAAGCACCGATACAGGTGCTGAAAAAATCCCATTCCACGAATGCGCACAATTTTAAAGTGTGACATGTTGGGTATCTATTTACTCGCCGTAACATCCTCTTTCATATTTTACAAAAAAATTGGGGTATATAATGCTTTTTTTTTTGTTTTTTTAATCAAAGTGTATTTTTTTACAAAAAAATATATATTCATTTTTAAAAACTGCGCATTTCGGTTTTCGGCCAAGTGCATTTTGAATTTTCGGTTTGGGTTTTGGCACCCGAATTTTCATTTCGGTGCACCACTACTTACAGCAATTACTTTATAAACACAGTGAAATCTTCCTTAAAAAAAA